AGGGTGGATGGTTTATATTGCTAATTAGCAGCTATTAAAGCTCGTATCCCATTCAGGCCTTGATGAATGGAGATGGAAAGGAATAAGGCATCAGAATAAATCAGAGTATAAGGAACTGATTTTTCCTTCGGGAAATCTCTCTGAATTAAACTTGAATGTGCCTCTGTGTGTGCCTGTGAATATTATATATGCATTGTAGCACTGTTGTTATGATATTTAACATGTCTTTCCAGCCTGTCATTTAAGATCTGGATACTATAAAATAAAAGAGTTATCTGGGAACAGAATCCTGTCTCCAGGATCCAACGAGCAACTGCAGACATCCAGGAGAAATATAAACACTGGGGAAAAAAAATATGAGGAACTTATAACCAGTGTTCAACAATCTTAAATTCAGTGACTTTCCAAGCCAGAGGTGTTAACAGTCCTTGACAGAAGTCACAGAAGGTATACTTGGAAATGATATCCTGGGAAAGCAGAATTCCTGGGAGAAGCAAAGGAAAGACCCTTTTGGCTCCTCATGGAGTTGGGGAATTGAATCTTGGAAAGAGTAAAGGTCAGGGATTCAGGAATTATGATTATTATATAGGAAAGGGGCCTGCAGGTAAAATCACTGGTGAAGGGAAAGTGATTTCCAGGGACAACCAATCAAATGGACTCTGAGAAGCCTCAGAGCCCAAAGGTCTGACTGAGCCTTGAAGTCCTGACACAGGAATCTTTATCCCCCTAAAAATATGAATCAGAGCTTCTTTTTAACAAGACATTTAGAAAGGAAACCAAGGGAAATATCCTACCTCTTTGACTTCCCAGTCTTTCTCCTGACTGAGAACCCTATTTTTGAGATTTAGGGTGGCACAGGTTTCTTTCTTGTTGTATCTGAGGTGTCTTAAACCCCAGCAGATCTTTATATGAATATTCACCCAGAAGAAATCACTCTCGTGATTCCATCCCATGGTGGAACATCAATTCCAAACCTTATCCCATGTCTTTCATTTTCTTTTGAAGTCTGTGACCTCTTGGTGGGATACATCAAAAACTCATCTGCCTCCAAATTCCCTGAAGTGAGAATTCCTGACTTTATTGGGACAAAACAATTCCATGTTTTCCCATGGAAGAAGATTCCATATGTGGGGGAAGCTGGCAGAGCTGCAAAAAGCCCGGTGAGATGGGCCAACAAATGTGAGCTCTGGCACCGGGGTGATGTTCCCCTGTGTTGGAGTTCTCCATGTGGCTCCACCTGCAGAAGAAACTAATAAAAAAGGGTTGATGGATGAGGCTGCAGCAGGGAATCAAAGCCCATCTGGAATTAAATCTG